CCACTAAAATCAGGGTATGGAATGGTTCCATTACCCCATAAAGAACGCCTGTTACCACTTTATAATGCTGTCCCCAACGTTAACTCTGGGAAACCACTTATCTGTTCTCCCCATCGTACTATCATTTCCAAAATCTCATACAAATGGAAACTTCCAACATGTAACCTTTTGGGTCTGCCTTCTTTGACTTAGCAAAATGCCTGTGACATGGACGTTGTTGCCTATACAGTAGTCCACTGTTGTTTTTTATTTTAATTTTTATTTCTTTAGTTGTTGATGGACTTTTATTTTATTCCTTTATTTATATGTGGTTCTGAGAATCAAACCCAGTGCCTCACACATGCTAGGCAAGTGCTCTACCAGTGAGCCACAACCCCAGCCCTAGTCCACTGTTTTTAATACATTGTAATGTTTCAGTATACAAACACACCACAGTATTGTTTTTCCATTCAACTGTTGAAGAACATTGGGTGCTTTCCAGCAGCTTGTGATTGTGAACAGAACTGTTGTACAGGTTTTTGTGTAAACTTAAGTTTTATTACTCTAGGGTAAATACAAGGGTCAAAACGCAGGCATGTGTTGACCTTTGTTAGAAATTTCCACATTGCTTTCCCACCAGCAATGTATGAAAGTTCAGTTGCTCCACATCCTTGCCAGAATCAGCTTGTCTATATCTAAAAAGATCCTACTAGAATTTTGATTGAAATGGAAACATTTATTATGTTGAGTTTTTTAACCAATAAATTTGATACATTACAATTTTTTAAAGTTTTCAGCATAAACATCCTGTACATATTTTGCTAAAATTACACACAAGCATTGCATTTGGTGTGTGTGTGTGTGAAACTACTGTAAAAGCATATATATATATATATATATATATATGTAAATATATATATAATACATATATGTGTATATTTTGTGTATGTATGTGTGTGTGTATTTGTGTGTGTGTGTGTGTGTGTGTGTGTGTGTGTGTGTGTGGTGCTGGGGATCCAACCCAGAAACTTGAGCTTGCTGGGCAAACATATTATTTCCTAGCTACATCCCCAGCCCTGGAATTATTTATTTTTTGGAACTGGAAATTGAACCAGGGGTGCTTGACTACTGAGCCAGGTTTCCAGCCCTTTTTATTTTTAATTTTGAGACAGGAATCTCACTGAATTGCTTAGAGCAAAACTAAGTTGCTGAGGCTGGCCTTGAACTTGTGATCCTCCTACCTCAGGCTCCCGAGTTGCTGGGATTAAGGTCTACGCCACCATGTCTGGCTGGAATTTTTGTTTTTAAAATTTAGTTCCTAATTAGTAATTGCTGACTTTTGTGTGTTGACTTGATATTCTGTACAATGCTAAACTCAGTAGTTTTAGGAAGGTTTTGTTTTTTTTCCCAGAATGGGGACAAAACCGGGCCTCAAGTGTGCCAGGCAAGCATTTTACTAGAGTAATATCTGCAGCCCTCCTGGGGATTTTCAATATGTCATCATGAATAGCAACAACTTTATTCATTTATCCAGCTTACATGCATTTAAAAATTTTGGAGGGTGATTTATTGGGAATTGAACTTTATCACTGAGCTACATCCCCAGCCCTTTTAATTTTTTTGAGACAGTGTCTCACCAAGTTGTTGAGGCTCACCTATAACTTGGGATCCTTGTATGTCAGCCACCCAATTAATAATTTTTTGCCTTATTTTGATGGCTAGGATTTCCAGAACAATTATTGAAAATGTTTGGTGAGAATGGACATCCTTACATCTGCTTTTAGAGGAAAAGCGGTTCTCTTTTGCTAGTCTGATGTTAGCTATAGTTTACTGAGTTTTATTTTTCTCAATCATAATTGGTTACCTTTTATCAAATGTTTTTTCTGCATTGATACACTCATGGAGTTTTTTCTTCTTAGTCTTCAGTTTTCTGGTCATCCTTGTCAGGTTTTTATATCAGGGTAATGTTGTCCTCATGAAAGGAGTTGGGAAGTGTTCTTTTCTCTTTATAAAGATTGTTTTAATATTGGTGTTATTCTTCTTTACATATTTGGTAGAATTCAACAATGAAGTCAGAAATTTATTTTCCAGAGGCTCACTATAACTTGTTTCTTTTACTAGTTACAGTACTATTTATGTTGCTTATTCATCTTAGATGAGTTTTACTAACTTGTGGTTTTTGAAGAATTGGTACATATGATCTAAGTTGCCAAATTTATATAAAGTATGCCCTTATCCTTTTATTTTGAACTGAATAAAAATGAAAATGCAACATATCAGAATTTGTGGGATGTAGTTAAAGCAGTGTTTAGAAGGAAATTTATAGTATTAAGATGCTTATTCTGCTGTCATGTACAACTAAGTAGAACAAATCAAAATTTTAAAAAAAGATGCTTATATTAAATACTTCAAATCAATATTCTAAGCGTCTGGTTAAAAATGAAAAACAAATTCAAAATGTATGAAAGAAAATACAGAAATAAATTGAAAAAAGATCAGAGAAAATGAAACAGCTTATTTGAGAAAAATCACTTTGATATATAGTTGAACTAATGAAAATAAACCTATTTGTTCTTAAACATATGGCCTGCTTTTATGATTGTGACTCTATTTGTCTCATTTTTTTTATTCAAGATATCTTTATTTGTGTCTTTCCAGTCAGTTTCACAATCCCCTCTCTCCTGAAGATCAGTTTTTGGTCTGGATCCTATAGCTCCTTCATCTTCCTATCATTTTTATTCTCCTACAGAGCTACAGGAAATACCTGCTTAAGTCTTCCACATACCCACTAATGGGTTCACACTGAAGTGGGAACCATGGTTCTATTCATCTTGTTTTGGGGGACAGGTCCAGATACCCCCATCTTCAGAATCTCTGTGGACAACATACAAGTTTCTATGCTCTCCAAACTCCTAGATGAATATTTCCAGCTATTATAGGAACTTCCTTATCTTGCACTAATCTAGCAGTGGCACTACAGTAGGGTCTAGATGTTTCTGAAGCAGAGTAATCATTCAGCTAAAGGAGCAGATGCTTTATTTCATCCTTACAGGTGCTCCCAACCAAGTAATTATTTTATTACTCATATTCCTTTTTTTTTTAAAGTTATAGTTGGACACAATACCTTTTTATTTTATTTATTTATTTTTATATGGTGCTGAGGATTGAACCCAGGGCCTTGCACGTGCTAGGTGAGCACTCTACCACTGAGCCACAACCCCAGCCCTTCCTTTACTCTGTTTGGGTAACAGAATGCTGGTCTCTTAGAAGGTCATAAGTAGGAGGTGGGACATTGTTCAATTGTTGTTGATTCTCATTAGAATTTAGACAAATAATACTTCTTGCCAGGTGTAGTGGTGTACACCTTTAATTGCAGTGACTTGGGAGGCTGGGGCAAAAGGATCACAAGTTTCAGGTCAGCTCTGGTAATTCAGCCAGACCCTCAGCAACTTAATGAGACCCTGTCTCAAAGTAAAAAGTAAAAAAAAAGGGGACATGGCTTAGTGGTAAAGTGGCCCTGGGTTCAATCCCAAGTACCGAAAAAAAACTTAAAAACCTCTTTTTTCTCATCTTTTCGGGCTGGCTGTTTAAAAAAAAAAAAAAAAAAAAAAAGGACACCTGGGAAGAAACTGTGGACCAATAGCCTTTGAAATACCATTTATGATAAAGAATTTAGAACCAGAATAAGGTTACCCCTAAAATAATATATAAGTAATCCAGATACTATAATCTAGATTATAATTTAGAAAACCAGATTTATCAATTTTACAGAAACAGAAAGTAGAATGGTAGTTACCAGGGTTGGGGGTGGGAGGGTAAGGAATTATTGTTTGATGGGTATAGAGTATATTTTGCAAGATGAAAAAAATTCTGGAGGTCCAATGCACAACAATGTGAATAGATTCAACACTACTGAAATACACACTTAAAAATGGTTAAGATAGTAAAACAGAATAAAGAAAATGTGATATCTGATATTGAGTTGACAAGAAAAATTTATTTTGTAGGAAAGAAACATCTAGATATTGCCACAGATGGCCCTGGTATGTCCACAGTACCATATATAAAAGGACAATTGCTCACAATGACAACACTGAAGCACTGAACGATACCAAAGTACTTTCTGAAATCCAAGAAGTCAAATTACACTTAGAATGGGTTCTGATGTCCTCACATAGATCAAAGTTTTAATACTCTGACATTGGGAAAACCAGATAACCAATCATTATTATAGCTTTTGGTGATATATAACTTGGTGATAAGCAAGTCTTTTGGTGATAAACTTACAATACTCATCTGCCATATCTCCACACAAATAGTTAAAAATCCAATTTATTGGTCAAGTGACATATTGCTTGAATTCATTAAATATATTTGGACTTCATTTATACAAACCAATGTACAATAAGTTACCATATGAAAAGTGCTCCTGTTTTTATAGGATCGTTACTACTTCGGAAAAGATGTGTATGAATGAACTCTATACTACTTTTGCCTTTTAAAACTTGCATCTAACATTTCTGTTCAATATTACAACCAATTTTGTGATTTTTGTAAGAAATCAACAAGTCTTCAATTCTCAAATTCTTCTCTTTTCTTCCTCATCATAGCTTAAATTCAGTACAGATCAATAGGTATCTTAGGCTTTGTGTACATTCTTACTCCTTAACACCAACAGTTCTTCAGAGGCCTGAAATCCAGTATAGGAATTACTGGTTACATTAAGTTCTACAAAAAGCATTAAAAACATTTTCCCTGAAATATACAGAACATGTCATGCCAAGTCTCTTTTTTATACACTAAACTGGAAGTATTGGTGATTTGCACACATAGTTTACATTTCCAAAACAGAATAATTTAAACATTAAACCGTACCTTCTATTTTATTTTTATTTTTTTGGTACCAGGGATTGAACCCAGGGGGGTTAGCCATTGAGCCATATCCCCAGCCCCCCCTTTTTTTTTTTGAGACAGGGTCTCGCTAAGTTGCTCAGGACTTTGCTAAGTTGCTGAGGCTGGCTTTGAACTTGCGATCCTCCTGCTTCAGCCTCCTGAGTTGCTAGGATTACAGGCGTGCGCCACCACGTCCAGCTAAACCATACCTTTATGTTATTAACATAACTGACCTTATAAGCATAACAAATGGCAATATTCAATACAAAAATCACAAAATCCACTAGCTTTAAATGCTGCATTTTGTAGCACAAACTCATCTTCCTATGACCTACTTAAACTATTGGCAGCAATATTTTTAAGCTACTCTAGCATTCATATCCTAATTAGAAATTTATACGAAACACAATTTTATGCTCAAATATGGAAATAAGTAACATAATTCCAAAACCCAAAAGTATCCCAGCATTCTGTAAAAAGAAATAGCCCCAACGGCTACATCCATGGTCACTAGCATCATTGTGCAGCATCTCAGGTACCTTAAAGAGAGGGGGGGAAAATAAGAGTCAACATTTAAATTTTTAGAACTACAGATTAATTTTCCAAAAATTTTTTAGGATAGCATACCAACTTTTATTTGTAGTTGAATATACTATGGGCAATTCATGAAAATATACATGCTAACTCTAGGTAATGTTAATAAAACTTCCTAGTAGTTTAATTAACAATGATTATTGTGTTTTGAGTAAGTGAAAATTTTTATTAGTCCAGTTTGCTCCACTGTGAAATAGAAAACTATATTGATTGTCCTGCTTCAATTGATTGCCTACATATCTGAACTAAACACAATGCGTGGCTCACCTGAGTTCAGAGACAGGAAACCTTACACTACATAAAGTTTCAGCAATAAGATTGGCTGAGATTGTTTATGTGAACTTTGGTGACAAAAGAATATATAACTCCTTTGACAATAAGGACACTTTCAGCATTCTGAAATACACACAGCATGCCAACAAGGTGGCTTGTTCTAGGTTTCCTACAAATCTATAGACAATTCAGTGCCTAATATCAAGATTCTACTGTAAAAAGATATATCAGAAGGGGCGAGTATTTATATGTATTTGGATATACATTAGGTAGCATAAAAATGTGCCTGTAATTAATCAACAATCACTCAAAGGAATCTGTATTTTTATATCCCACTTTTAAAAATTTAGAATCATTTATTACTGCTGCATTTAACATAAAACCTTTTTGTGAATGAACTTTTACTGAATATTTCTTTTATTTAAATAGTCAATGTCTGACTTCTTAAAAACTTACCATATCAACCAGAGCGACATACATGAATAAGCCAGCAGTAAGTGCAAATATCCACATGGAAACATTTTCAGCATAATGACCAATGAAAATTCCTGTTGCCATCCCAAGATAGGCCAGCATGGCTGACAAAGCGTTGTAAAGCACAGCCTGCTTAACGGTCATGCCAGCCTTCAATAAAACAGCAAAGTCACCTTTAATAGAAAATAGGATGAAGTAAGTGCAAAGTCATTTTTAAGATACCTTCTCTGATTTAAGGAAATTCTCCAATTTTTTTAAGGGAGGCAGGGAGAAAGAAAGAAATACCCAGCGTTAGAGCAGAGTTGATCACTAGAAATCATCCTAACAGTTCTATAAACTAAAAAAATCTTTTACCAAAGTTTTCTTTTCTTTTTTTTTTTTTAAATATTTATTTTTTAGTTATAGGTGGGCACAATATCTTTATTTTTTAATTTTATTTTTATGTGGTGCTGAGAATTGAACCCAGTGCTTTACTCATGCTAGGCGAGCGCTCTACCACTGAGCCACTGCCCCAGCCCCCAAAGTTTTCTTGAGGCTTGCACTTTTGTCAGTGAATAAATACCATGAGTCTACTAACTATTGTGATTTTAATAAATACCATGAGTCTATTGACTATTGTGCTTTTGCTTTGCTTCAGGGAGCTTAGAACTGGCAACAAAGGGGGAGGAGAGGGTGGAGAGTACACATGAAATCATCAGCAAAAGATAAAAGCACAATATAATTATGAGCTAATGAGTGTAATGTTACAATTTAAAAGGCGAAAAAGAGATGGAAATAGTTCAAAGAGGCCTCATGAGGCATGACGGATCTAGAATATGGAACACAAGTGAGATATTGAGGCTTATGAGTCGAATAGTTGAACACATGCCAAGAAACAAAATAGAAAATGTTATCAGGGGTATGCGAATGAATGTGACCACAAGAAGAAAAACTAGAACACAAACTGGGATCCAAAATAACTATGAAGGTTTCAATTACCAATGACAAAGAATATTATTTAAAATACAACTCATTAGCCAAGCATAGTGGTGCAGGCCTATAATTCTAGCAACTTGGGAGGCTGAATTAGGAGGATCACAAGTTTAAGTCCAGTCTCAGAAACTTAGATCCTGTCTCAACACAAACGAAACTAAAGCCCCCCACCAAATCTCATCAATTCCCTCTTTTTTCAGCTATAGTAAGATGCTCTTTCCTAACTTCCCTCTGTTAATGGAAGATGATTCCTTTGTATGCTATAGTTTCATTCACAGTGTGTGTATGAAGACAGTTCACTGATGTCACCAGTACATGACACAGAAAAATAATTGGTAGAGGAAGAGGGTAACCAGGTACCTCTTTGGCATACCCACACAGGCAACTGTGTACCTGTAGGATTCAGCCTGAAAACAAACTTGGCCAAGGAAGAAAGGAAAGCTGACTGGGTTAGTAGACTTATGGGAAAGGATGGAAGTTAAGAAGAAGCCTGCTGGAAAGCTCATCAGCAAAATCCAGCAACACATTTTACTCCTACAGCAAATACACTTTACATGGTCCTCTTCTTACCTAACTCATGAGGCAACTCATGACAAAACACAGCAACAGAAGTACTTAAACCACTTGACAAGCCTTCAGTGAAAGCAGCACCTGTATAAAAATCAACCAGAAGAAAATTTGCCACATGGGTTTGTGTGTCTTTTAATACTGGCACCTAAAGTGGGGTAAAAGAAATAAATTATATTTTGGCTGTACAACCTTCCTATCCTATTATCTTCTTAATAAGAAATCTAAGATTACATTTCAGTGGGTCTAAAATACACAGAGGAGCACAAACAAGTATGACAGAGAAGGGAAGGTTCAACTATGCCTTAGAAAGAGAAGATCTTCTAAACCTGAGAAGTAACTGCTACTACATAAAACAATCAGGAATATAAAATAAACTGATCTAAAAGGTTTGGAAGAAAAACGCTTGCTATCAAGGGTGTAAATGTTTCACTGACCTCACTCAGGAATTCACTATATAATTAGACTTTTTTACATTCATTCTTTCATTATCTCACAAGGAGACTCAAATTGCTACCCCCCCTTAACAAAGCCAACATATTATACAACTGATCAGTTATCAACCACGACTGTACATTTGGACATTAGTCCTTTGTCTGCTTACATCACATGCAACAGTTTGTGGAAGGAAGCACAACAGACTCCAGAGTATCCAGAGCCCAGGTTCATCTTGGTCTGGCTATAAAACAACACTGTCTCCTTGGACAAGTGTCACCTATCCAGACTTCAGTGGTCTAATTTGTAATTACTTTTATGATTCCTTCTAGATTACTAACATTTATAAACATTTTATTATCTACTAATTGTGGTGTAACAGCTTAATACAAAAATTCTGCAATTCTTCTTTGGATATATTGGTAACTGGACTTATCAGATACATGAAGATTCCTTTAGCATAAAAGAAAAGATGGAAAAGATTTTACCTTAATAAGCATAGACTTTATTACTTATAAAGGAACTTCAATGTATAAGGGAGAAAAAGTCCCACATGCTCCCTACAAGTTCTAGCCTGATGTTAAGACCTTTCTAGTGAAGAACTTTTGATGGTTCCAATTTATGCAACAGGCTAGGCACAGTTTCTAGCACTTAGTTCTGGCTAATATTTACTAAGTACTTCATTGTCAAAGTAGCCAAAGGGGGGAAAATTTTTGATCATCTTGGAAACCATTAATATCCTCATCTAAACTAACCTATTTTTTTTTTAAATGGCAAGATTTACTTTCTTTAATTTTTTTTCTTAGATCTTTATTTTATTTATTTATACGTGGTGCTGAGAATTGAACCCAGTGCCTTACACATGCCAGGCAACTGTGCTACCACTGAGCCAGTCCCAGCCCAAAACTAAACTATTTTTTTGTTCAATTTGTTTAATGTAACATTTTCTGAGTCAATCAACAAGGAACAGATATATAGATGTATACCAATTGCTAGGCCATCGCTGAAGTTGTGCAGGCCATCCCCCATTATCACCATCCAAGCCAACGTGGCAATGCCAGCATCTTTCAGCTCCTCCCGAGAGTAGCGCTGACTGTGACTATGGGGGTGATGGTTTTGGTGGTGATGGTGATGGAGAATATGATGGTAGTCATGATGATGGTGAATGAGGTCATCTGACTGGCCCAGTGTATCATGGAAATGTGAATGGCATTTGTTTTTGCACCCTCTGGGTACATATTCATTGTAGACTTCCTGAGGATGAGCATGAGCTATCATGACCTCTTCTTCTTCCAAGATTGCTGGCTGCTGAGAATCAAAGTGGGAGGGCTCTTGTGAGTCTGCTCGTAAATAGCCTTCAGGTCCTAGGAATCAACACAAAGGATATTGGGACAAAGTCAGAAGACTTCATTAATGTACTTGAATTAATGTAATTTCAGACATTACCACTGACAATTAAGGTCAACAAATGATCTTAAAGCATGATAACTCTCTTACACCTACTGGTCTAAGCATACATATTTGTTGATAAAAGAGATTAACAGATCTTAATGAATTTTAGAAACTGAATGATTTTTTTAAAAAATAAATTCTATTTTTATTAGTAAGAATTTTTTCCATATTGTTATTGGTATATTATAGTTGTACACAGTGGTGGTATTTGTTGTTACATATTCATACCTGCACACAATAACACAATGGTAAGAATTTATTATTATTATTATTATTATTAATCTTTTATTTATTTATTTTTGGTATCAGGAATTGAACTCAGGGGCACTTAACCACTGCAAATTAATGTATTCAAACATTAACCTTCAACAGCTATTTCTTCATTGTCCTTTAATTTCTTCTGCCTCCCTAGAGGTTAAAAGATAAATTTTTCTGATTATTTTGATCTGCAATACCACATATAAATAAAGTTAAAAAAAGATGAATTTTTCTGATTATAAAATAATCACATGATTATTTTTGAAAAATATATTATTAGATATTTAAAATATATTTTACAAAAATTTTTTTAGAAAAATACTGAAAGTTGAAATAAAAAATATGCATAATCCTGTCATCTGACTTCTTTTTTAAATAATAAAATTCAAGGAAAAACAAAATAATCTGAATTATTTCACCATCAACAAGAAGCATTTATTATGTGGGCAAAGAAAAGCAAATACCAACAATAAAGTTGTTCTTTATTTATTCTAGAATCAGTTTTTCTTTATCCTATAATCAATTTTTTTGAGGGCATCTCTGACCCCTTGGTCCAATTCTTGAGTAGCTACTTCCTCCCATTATTACAAATTTCACTGAACTCCATTCAAAAATTTGAGAGAATAGCTTCAGAAAGAAGAGTGAAAGCGTTTATCTTGATCTTTAGGAGAAAAAAACCCCAGCATGTTGGAAAATTTAGGGTGAACAGAAAACCTTACAGATAGGCAGTAGTAACCACAGAAGTTTTTGATCCTGTAGTCAGTCAGTATCCACTGAGCACCTATGTCATGCTGAGCATTTTGGCCCTGGGGATAGATTGAAGATAACAAAAATACCTGCCTTCAAGAAACTTAAGTATTTGTGGGGAAAGAGCCACTTAGCTAGGAAGTACTTGTACAAACAAGTAATCTGAGGCACTGGTAAGTACAAATTAGTAAAGGGTAACATGAAAGAGAGTGACTGGAAGATCTGTATTTGAGAGATGAGGAAAGCCTTTGAGGAGGAGGCATCTGAGCTTTAAAAGGATAAGAGGAATTTATATGAAAATCTGGGAGAAGGGCATTCAAGCTGAAGGAACAGTGAGTGCAAGGCCCTGAGACAAACCTCCTGTGCTCACTGTAAGAAAAAAAGGACATGAGGCTGGAGCAGAGTGAACAATGAGGGAGATGAAGGGCATGATAGGACGTCAAAGGAGTTTGATTTAAAAATATGAATCTTGAGGCTGGGGTTGTGGCTCGGTGGTAGAGTGCTTGCTTAGCATGTGTGAGGCACTGGGTTTGATCCTCAGCACCACATAAAAATAAATAAATAAAAAAAAATAAAGGTGTTGCGTCCAACTACAACTAAAAAATAAATAAATAAATGAAATTTTAAAAAAATTAAGGTACTATGTCCATCTACAATTTACATATATATGAATCTTAACAGTGTCCAACAAAAATGCCAAACCAACAGTCATTACAGAAAAACAGTAACTTTACAGTAGAGAAAGATGGGAGACAGAACCTGAGCCAAGTGATCAAAATTAGCACCACCTATAAGTGACAGAGCTTCATATTGGGCAGCACATCATGTTACTACAAAGGGTACAACACCCTTTCTTGTACTTCCTGCCCAAACTCATCATTTAATCATTAAAAGACATTAGACAAACTCAAAACGAGAAGCAATTAAATGGAACATTTGATTCTGAATTGTATTCTGGACCATTTTTTTCTTTTCTTTTCTTTTTTTTTTTTGGTGGGGGTGAAGAAATTAAGATAACTGGAAACAAACAAACAAACAAACAAACAAACAAAAAAGAACAGAATAAGTTGTATAGACTATGGAATGACACTACACCAACAGAAATCTCCTGATTTTTTAAAAAAATATTTTCTTTTAGTTGTAGTTGGACACAATACCTTTATTTCTTATTTATTTTTATGTGGTGCTGAGGATTGAACCCAGGGCCTCGCACATGCTAGGCGTGTGCTCTACCACTGAGCCACAACCCCAACCCAGAAATCTCCTGATTTTGATAAGTGAATTGAACTGTGGTTATAAACAAAATGTCCTTTTTCATAGGAGACATACTCCGAAATATTTAGAGGTAAAGAAGTGTCACGTCTACAACTTATTCTCAAAGTAGTTCAGGACAAAAAAAATGTGTGTATGTGTATATAGACAGAAACAGAGAGAATGACAAATAAATTTAATAAATAAATAGGGCCGGGGATGTAGCTCAGTGGTGGAGTGGCTGCCTAGCATGTACTAGATTGGTCCTGGGTTCAATCCCTAGTGCAACAAACAACAAAAACCAAATATGTAATAAATAAGTAAACAAGGAATCTAAAATAGGGAAGGGGATATTAGAATTCTTTCTATTATTTTCAAATTGTTTCTTTTCTTTTTCTTTTTTTAAAGTATATATTTTTTAGTTGTTAATGGACCTTTATTTATATGTGGTGCTGAGAATCGAACCCTGTGCCTCACTCATGCTAGGCAAGTGATCTACCACGGAGCCACAACCCCAGCCCTCAAATTGTTTCTATAAGTCTGAACTGATCTCAGAATAAAAACCTGTAGGGATTGGGGATGTAGCTAGGTGGTAAAGTGTGTACTTAGCATGCATGAAGCCTTGGGTTCTATTCCCAACAAATCATCTCCCCACCAAAAAAATACAGAAAAAGAAATGTAAATATACACAGAAACAACTTACTAATTGAAAAATTTTCAAAATATGAGATACTGAAAAAAAAAAAAAAGAATATAATCACACCTCTTTCAAATAGTCTGAGTTGCCTACAAATCCCAGTGCAACCCACTCTGCCTTGTTCCTGGCCCCCAGATTCACTCATAGGGACTTACGATCATCTGTATCTACTTTCTCCTCATTTGCTGAAAGTTGAGATTCATACTTGGACAACTGCTTCTTAATCTCCACGTCATCATCATTTTCAGGTTTTTTTTGATTCTAAAATAGTAAGGAAAAGCAATACTTTGAAATACTTGATTTGATATAGGAAAAGACAATACAATTAACACATTTCTACCAGAATGAAAGCCATCTAAGGACAGGGCCTATAATGATTTGCATAGTACTTACTAGTGAATCTTAGGTACGGTAGCTGTCAGAAAATTAAAGAATGCCTCAGTAATATGAGATGTAGGAAAATCACACATTAATCCTCTTGAAACTAATACTAAATGCCTCCTAGATTATCTACTCTAGCTGTGGTCTTACACAAGCAGCACATCATCCCCTGGGAACGTGTCAGAAAGGCACACTCTTAGGCCACTGCCTAGAACTGATGAGTCAGAATTTGGATTCTAATTAGATCCCCAAGTGATTCATCCCCACATTAAAACAGAAACTCTACCTTAGGTTATTAATTTAGAACCAGTTAGAGGCATATCCTTCAGGCACTAGATGATCTGCTACCCAACTAGGCATGGAAACCACATACTTCTCACAGTTTTCATAACTGAAAAACTATACTAAAATACTTTTCCTATCAAAACACCATTAACATGTTTTCTCTTTTTAAACAAGTCTCTGTCACAGCCTTGAAATTATCACTAGGCCTTTTTTTTAACCACCCCAAATACTGTGTTTGAGAGATTGTCCTTGAGTCAAAGCAACATTTATATTATATAAAAGTCACACTGACAATGGTATCTGTGTATTACCTACTTATGCAGAATATTTAAAATGATGAAAATTATCATACAAATAGTGAATTTCTTATTTGTACTACCTCTGAGTATGACTTAAACAATTGCCACCAAAACTGAGGTTATACTTTAGGTTTAATAGCATGTAAGGTATCTATACATTCTTAGGTTACAAGAGTTTTTAAACAAACATAGACCAAACTTTATATTTATCCCTATCATGGTGCCTCAGAGAAAGTACTTATATATTTGTGAAAATAAATGAAATCAAGATTTTTTTTTTTTTTTTTTGGTGCTGGGGATTGAACCCAGGGCCTCATGCATGCGAGGCAAGCACTCTACTAACTAAGCTAAATCCAAGCCTAAATTCAGGATATTTGAAAAGAAATTTTTTTTTGTAGTTGTGGATGGATTTTTATTTATTTTTTTATGCATTGCTAAGGATCAAACCCAGTGTCTCACACATGCTAGGCAAGCACTCTGCCATTGAGCTACAGCCCCAGACCAAATACAAGACATTTTTTAAAGTTTGATTTAAAACTTTAAATCAAAGTTACTTTTTGATTGACAAATAGTAATTGCATATATTTATGGAGTGAATTAAGGGTATCTTAAATAATAATTTTTGTTGGTGCTTTATTTCTCATTGAACAATGACTTTAGAACTTAGAGCTTAACAAATTCTTTTATTCCTTAAGTATTAACAACTTATAAATATTTCTGTACTAAATAATGACAGCTCAACATAAAACAAGATAGTTTCTGTTGTCAAGGGGCTTATCATCCATAGGGAGGGGATGTTACACAGATAATTATATAATTTTTTGCTTGCAATCTTTGTTACATTTTACAAAAGAAAAACATAGGGTGATATTAGAGGCTATCATAACAAGACTTACATAAGTTTCAGGACAAGCTTTTGAAAAAGTATGATGATTGCACTAAGACTTAGGGATAAGGAGTTTGCCAGGGAAGGGTGGAATAGGCAGTATTCCATGCAAGGCGAAAAATGAGGAGAGGGCTCTGAAGCATCAAGGGGCCAGCATCATCCTGGAACTAAAGGTACAAGGTGGCTGGGGCCTGGTAGGCCAGAGCGAGGGTGGCTAGGGACAAGGTTGAGGCAACAGAAGTAGTTCAGAAGATGCAAACTGTGTTAAAAGTGGTAGCCTGGGGCTGGGGTTGTGGCTCAGTGGTAGAGTGCTTGCTTAGAATGTGTGAGAATGTCTGGGTTTGATCCTCAACACCACTTAAAAAAAAAAAAGTAAATAAAAAAATAAAGATATTAAAAAAAAAAAAAAGAAAAGAAAAAGAGTGGTGGCCTTTGTCCACAAGGAAATGGGAAGTCACAGAAGGATTTTAAATAGTGGTGTATAATCTCATCATCTTTTTTTTTTTGGGGTGTGTGTGGGTGGGTACCGGGGAGGCATTCAACCACTGAGCCACATCCCCAGCCCTATTTTGTATTTTATTTAGAGATAGGGTCTCACTGAGTTGCTTAGCACCTCGCTTTTGCTAAGGCTGGCTTTGAACTCATGATCCTCCTGTCTCAGCCTCCCAAGCCCCTGGGATTACAGGTGTGTGCCATGACACCCAGCTCTCATCATCTTTTCATTTAAACAAATCACTGCCAGCTCTGTGAAAACTGGACTGGGAGAGGAGGAAGAGAAAATCATGTGCACAGGTTAGTTAGGAGGTAACAGCTGTCACTAAGGTTAGAGATAATCAGGCCTAGATTAGAATGACTGCAAGGAAGAAGGGGAGAAATGGAAATACCATGAACTTATTTATTTAATAAAAACTGGCTGGGTATGGGGAAGAGAGGGATGTCACAAATGATTCCCTGGTAGCAAGTAAGTTTAAAGATGAACTCTTATAAGGGTCCAACTATATAAATATATATCTAGTATGAGATAGAGATTTCAGACTGACTTAAAATTATGCAATATAGAATCTCCCAGGAGCGTAGCTTGGCTTTCTGAAGGAAAATTCCAATTTTCCTTATTATGGTACTGAAGAACTCTCAACATTCACCATTTAATGAGTTTTTTTTTTTTTTCTTTTTGAGGGAACAAGATTGGTATTAAGTATCAACCACTAACATTTGGATGTCCTTGACCAAAAATAAACTCAACATATTCAAACAAGGAAGAGAATATATAATGTTTGTAAGACTCCCATGGAAAGACTGTGTCTAGAAATTACACTTACTTGCTGCCCCCTAAGTGCTTATATACTAGGAGATAGTAATTTTTTTTTAAATATTTATTATTTTTAGTTTTCGGTGGACACAATATCTTTGTTTGTATGTGGTGCTGAGGATCGAACCCGGGCCGCACGCATGCCAGGCGAGCACCCTACCGCTTAAGCCACATCCCCAGCCCAAGGAGAGAGTAATTTTTGAAAAATATTTTTAGCTGTAGATAAGACACAATACTTTTCTTTCTTTATTTTTATGTGGTGCTGAGGACCAAACCCAGTGACTCTTATGTATGTATGAGGCAAAGGCTCTACCACTGAGCTACAACCCCAGCTTGGAGATAGTATATATTCAAGCCAGACTGGTAAAGCAACTGGGAAAGGGGAACATGGAAGATTACTTCCTAGATTAAAATAAAAAATAAACTGATGGGTACGGTGGTGCATACATGTAATCCCAATGGTTCAGGAGGCTGAGACAGGAGGATCCCAAGTTCAAGGCCAGCCTCAGCAAGTTAGCAAGGCTGTAACCAACTTGGTGAGACCTGTCTCAAAATAAAAAACAAAAGTGCGGAGGATGTAGCTCAGTGGTAAAGTGCCCCTTGGTTAAATCCCCAGAAACAAGGTTGGGGGTGAGGGGCAGTGAGGAAGCAATTCACTTTTTTTTTTTTTAAGTATTTTTTTTAGTTGTATATTTCAGATGGAAACAATATCTTTATTTTATTTATTTATTTTTATGCGGTGCTAAGGATCAAACCCAGGGCCTCACTCATACAGGGCAAGTGCTCTACCACCGAGCTATCACCCTAGCCTGGAAGCTATTCTTATTAGTACTTCTTCCCTCCAAATTTAAGTCTACTAAAGAGAAGGTTTAAGGCTGGGTGCAGTGGAGCACTCCTGTAATCCCAGTGGCTCAGAAGGCCAAGGCAGAAAGATTGTGATTCAAAGCCAGCCTCAGCAACTTAGTGAGGACCTAAAGCAATTTAGCAAGACCCTATCTCTCAATAAAATTTTAAAAAGGGCTGGGGATGTGGCTCAGTGGTTAAGTGTCCCTGGGTTCAATACCTGGTACAAAAAGGAAAAAAAAAGTTCAAAAATTGCAATGTGAGATTTTAGTAACTGTAAAACCCATAAGGGCAAATGTTCATGGGAGGGAGGAGGCTGCTCTCCTGTTCACACATGCACTTGATTCCCACAGTGAGCTCAATGCAAGAATCAACTGTTAGTTTTCAAACCTCTTCATGCCAGTTAAACTTGTTACTATAATTGCACAATTTAATTACATGTTGCTCAAACTATGACATGATGTGAGAATAGTTACTTCTGTGAACATGTAAGTCCAATGCTTTTAAAACACTCAGACAAGTTGCTAAAAACAAAAAAACCCAAAAAACTATTAAATCATGTAAGATAACCACTGTATAAAATATTTAAAATTTCCAAGATCTAGATTCTACATTTAGAATAGCTTTACAAGTTTGTAACCTCTTCTTCAATTTTACAGAAACTAAAATGGGAAATTGTACATGAAATGTTGCATGGTTATTTTAGAAACATACATGACATATAATACAAAACTTCAACTCAAAGAAAATCCTGATCGACATCAAATGAGTGTAGATATTTTGTTAAATTAATGTGTCTGGGATGTGCACTCTTCACTTTAAGAGTCCCTTCCAATAATCTTTCAACTGACTTGCCTGACCATATCAGATAGAAAGGCAAATGACCTTAGGGGACTCAAAAGGTATTTTTGCCTGAAATAAAAAACTTAACTCGGCTTCATACTATTTCATGGTCTAATTTGCAAAGAGCAAGCCTGTGAAAGTCACATACCCTTTTAAAGAGAACAATCAGCTACTGGGTAAATAACTTAAAATTAAACACAAATACACCAGTAAGTATTTGTAACACTTCTAGTGTTGAAAACCCAGCTTGTGCCTTGTGTTTGGTAATTTATATGAATGCTTATTGTTGCCTTTCTTATTTTCCCATGAATTATAAGGAACAGTGAAGATAGAAAACTCCAGGATTATCAGAACTGGGGCTAGGGTTGTGGCTCAGGGGTAGAGTTCTCGACTAGCACGTGTGTGGCCCTCAGCACCACATAAAAATAAAAAAAAACAAAGGCATTGTGTCCAACTACAACTAAAATATAAATTAAATAAAAAATACAGAACTGCTCTACAGGAATGTCCTCAAGAATAAAAAGTACCTTGAGAAGGTATAGAACCCCCCTTGAGCAATGATCATATACCCTTCATGAGATACTCTAACAATCTAGTTAGAGTGCTACTCTAAATGAATGTCTGATGCAGTGAGTACTCAGTATGCATTTTCTTACCTTTTTCTTCTTATCTTTAAATTGCTTAATCAATGTAAGTACGTGTTCAACAAGAAACATGAAATACAAGCCTCCTAGAGCCGTCAGACCTTTCCATGTAGAATCAAAATAGGTACTTTCTTCTATGTTTTGAGATGACAGATGACTGAAAAGTGGACCTCTTTTCATTTCCATTGCTGGTTCTTCATGGCTATGACTATGATGGTGACTTGCATGAGACTAAAAGCAAAATGATATGTAATTTGTACATTCATTAGTGTCATAAATGTCAGAAAAATTGGTTGGGTAGTAGGGTCAAATTTGAAATCATTTAGAATTAGGCAGTTAATGGGGTACTTCATAGTTGAAGAGACAGTAAAAATGAAATGCCCAAGTATGTTATGTACCATGCACTTAATAGAGTAGTGGATCTGTTTAGTGTAAAGACAGATACATTCCCCAGAAATCCTCATAATATAGATAGGGAGTATTCTCACTGTTTGACAAGTTGCCATAAACACAATTAACAGGGAAATGCTATATTTAATAAGACATTGTATCTACTGCTTATACTTCCAACTGAGAGGTTCATAATGGGGTCACCAGAATGGCCTTGTAAGAATCTAGTCTCTGTGTAGTGATGGTCCTGGCAGATATCTGAGATTCAGGTTTACTGACCCAGGAGCCAAAGCTGAGTGGAGTAATAACAAGCTATTGCTACTACGAGTGAGGGAACCCGATGTGGAGCACACTGAGGCCACAGGGACACCCCATGCCAGGGCTACATCGTGTAGCATGTATTCCTGAACATCTGTCATCTGGTGGTCAGAGAGCTTGTCATAGCGAAATAGTTTTCTTTCACTATTGAATATAATATGAATTTTGTATGTCCTAGGAATGGAATGATTTCATTTTCTTACTTACCTGAAAAATCTCTAAGGGAAATTTAAAAAGTGAGATCCAAATATTTTTGGCCTGAAACTTATCCCAAATATTTAATGGACAAATAAACTCACTTTACCAAACTTGTTTTACTTAAGAATTCACTCATGTTATAAAGTGTGGAGTTCTAAAAATAAATAAATAAACAAATTCAACTCTGAAGAAAACCTCTAGGTTTCTTGGGAACATAAAGGTCATATATTTTATTTGTGTGGCTATTACATAAACAGATTAATTCTCATCTATCACTACAGTCTGTCACAGAACTAATATCTGAGCAGAATTTTTTTAATTAAGTAGGTTCAAAAAATTAAGTCCATATTTAGCAGATTTCCTTATAAAGAAAAGAAAAAAACAAGTATTAAAGTCTAGACAAAAATGTATATTTCAGTTACCAAATATATTTTAAAACTAAATTTTCTAAATCAAATTTCTAACATTTTATATGCAATGATACAAAGAATTCTAATATAAACCAAATATACACAAATATTTTCAATATTGAATAAAAACACATTGGTAGAACAAATTACTGTACTTACATGTGGAAGTAGGTGTAATAAAGCATCGCCACTCAAAGTCCCAACGGCCAATGCCACAAGGAAACTTAGGAGAAATTTGAAAAACACTCGATTCATGAGAGGCACCAAGATAACCCCCAGCAAAGATAGGAAACTGATGATGGAAATGGCTATAAAGCCACCAACCCAGGCTGTTGTAACAGAGCAAAAGAAAAACATAGTCAATAAACCTCTAAATGGAGACCTTTGGAGAATGACATAAAGCAACACTGAAAAACAAAAAAGTTATAAAGATACAAAAATTCAGTGCAAAAAAGACTGTGGCAATAGCACCATAACCAAAAAAACATTGACTGCTCAAAGGAACAAGCTGGCTGGTAATTAAGAACCCTCCAGGTGAGGGGAATAAGCCTAGTGGAAACGCTTCAAGTGGGGATAGAAGGAGGAAAAAAGCATTACCAAGGATGAATGCTAGCTCAAGCTTTTGGATTCCCATTATCCATAACAGCTAAGTTAAGAAGGCTGGAGTTGGGCAGACAAAGAGAAGAAAACAGGGAACTCAGTTATTTCCCCAGTAAATAAGGCAATTATTTCTTCCCCATTATTGCTTTTGAACAATGTGACCCTACATTACAACATGGCTTATCTTAATTTTATTTACCAAGAACTAGGCTCCTAAGCAGAAGAGATAAACTGATTTCCCCCCTAAATAGTATATCATGATATTTAAAAAGCCCAAATTTGAGATGATCCTGATATCTCCTGTGGGATGATTTCCAACAAATCATCATCTAAGTTTTCTTTCTTTCTTTTTTTTTTTTTTTTAAGGGGAGATTAACATACTTTCTTTCTTCACATATAGGGCAGAGAACAACTAAAATGATACAGGTAGAAATGTGTTAAAGAATGAATAGATGCAAATATAAGAACAACATAAATGTCTCTACTGGAAATTATTTTTTACATAAAAAATGCAATTCTACCTATTTGTAAAGAATAGGTCTTTGGAGGGATTTCAGCTTTCTTTTCACTTGTTGTATGAATCAGACAAGATCTAGCATCAATTTGATTGATGATGGCTGGGCAGAGATAGTTGAACTCAGTGGCATTCAGTGGAATTTGGATGCCCATGCCATGAGATGTAAGCAGCTTTGAAGCATTGAAACACTGAAAAAAACAAAGCAGTGAGTCACCAAAAGATACTACCTTTAGAGAATCTGAAAATTCATTCTGACAAAACATCACCTTTACCTTATTAAAGCTATTTCTTCATTTGTTTAAGTCAGTGCAAGTTAAAATCAACTTTTGTTTTCAGTACTTTGGAACTTGCCTCTAGGTGTGTGGAGATCCTGTGTCACATGGTGATATGCTACCCTCTTCTGCCTACTTGGGAGAAGCAGTTACATCACTAGTCACCTAGGGAGAAAGCCTCAAGTAGAACAAGCTTGGGGATAAATGGAGATTCACAAGCCTGTTAACTCATTGTATAAACCTATTAAGGAAATGAGCTTTAATTTCGAAATGGGGTTCATTAGAGATTGAGAAATATATTTTAGTACAAACGCTATCCTACTTGGTCCAAACAAGCCCAAGACATGTTGTTCTCCCAGCAATGACCCTACTTGCAAAAACTTAGCTCAGTTCTGTCTACATACCTGGCAAAATAATGCTCTACAATGAGAATATTAAATTATTCAGATTATGCTTGTGGAGGGCAATGCTGGCTAATAAATGAACTTGTACAGGCACGAAGATGTTTTGAACAATTTAATTGGATGACAAGCTCAGTTTGAAGAGAAACTCCTCTGTGCCATTTAATCTCTCCACCAAAGGAGTGGGGTGAGGTGGAGGGACTCAGAACTGGCTTTAGTACCTGTTTCTCATCTTCTGTAAAGACATTTCAATCTCTCATAATTCTTGGCCAATCCTACTCAAAATGAACTTCATCACCAGCATTGCTATGGCAATAGTGAGATTCTCCCAAACATGGTACAGTTATATGCTGGTTTGAATGAAGTACTTCTTTCTTTCTTTCTTTTTTGACATCTCTCAGCCAAGGCGAATTATGAAGAGTCTGAAAATCTATTTTAGAAAAATCCTGTGAACTCAAAACCTTCTGATGAGATCTTTCACTTGCTCAGCCCAAGGACATTCTTGGTAACTACTTAATTTCATGCATTTCACAAATCATTGTGATTCTTCTGTCAAGGAGGCACCATAGTTTCTCTCTGATGTTCTTAAACCCCTTTCAGCAACACTTTTCCCTAAAACACAGATTGTAACTTGTACTTTTTCAACCCTCCATTTTCTTCTTCTTTTTTTAAATGGTGCTAGGAACTGAACCCAGGGCCTCACACATGGTAGACACTCTATCACTAAACGACATCCCACTCCCTGCTATTTTTCATTAATAATATTCACCTTTATAAAGACTCCACCCCAAAATATCTTTTTTTAGATATCTGTTTTATTTTTACTTTACATTGCTTATAAATAAGACAGAATAGCAGCGACAATCAGACGAGCAATTTTAATAAGGAGTAGCATTTATCTTACCTCTTGAGTATTGTCATTTATGTTTCTGGAGTACACAAAGCCCTTTCTGGGCTCACTCACAGACTCATTGATTTTCCTACTAGCTAGCCGGCCCACCCGGGTCTTTTCTGTGATACTGGGTGGGGTGGAACTGCTTACGTCTTTGGGGAGTTTTCCAGATTTCAGAGTCTCTACTGTCTCCAAAAAGTGAGTCCCTTCAGAGACAGTGTTATACACAGTTGAGGTCACTACACTGGCACTGATGCTCTCCTTGACATTTCTTCTACCATCAGTGTGTTCTGGTCGGTGAGATCCTTTTCCCTGGCTGTTTCGAGGATCTTTACTTGAAGCATCAGAGTCACGGTCTGGGCAAAGAGCTTTCCGATTATTTTTACCGGAAGCAGCATGATTCCTGTGAGAGCGACGGTCGTGGTCAGGATGATGCTCGTGGTCATGGTGTATATGGATTCTTTTAATCTTATCTATGCCTATATTCTGAAGCAATTTTCTGAACCCTTCAACTGATAAGGAATTGTTCTCCCCATAGCGGTAGAAGAGCTGTTGCACATGATGTTGCTGTGTGGTAAATGCCAAATCAACATTAATGCCAGATTCCCAGTTTGGACTGATTTTCTCAGTGGTCTGAGAGAAAGCAGCTGCTGATTCTAGTTCTTGAAGGAGATTTGTGATGGAAAGGGCTAAGATCAGGACCAAGATAAAAGATAAATTCTTTGCCATTGCACCTTCCTAGAAAAGAGAGAAAAGAAAAACTCTCTACCTCACTCCTGTAACAATTTGAAACTTCATGCTAAAAATGAATATACAATGTATGGCCATACAACCTTAAACATGTCTGATCTCATTTGAAAATGAATGTCTAATCATATAAGGTTTACACAGAATCATTTAATATGATTAGTATGGTGCAAGGTACTGTGAAGATACGGAGAACTAGAGTTCTAGGGTCTCCCCTTGCATTGTTAAAACACAAAAAGCAAGTGGAGAACAGCTTAGTGCTAACAGGCAACTAATTTAGCAACTAATTCAGACATTCCTGTAGCCACAGCCATACTGGTAACTACTTATTGTGCTGGGAACAGTAATTCAAAACAAAACCATACCTAACTAACTCCACCAACACCACCATTTCATGAAAGAATCTTTTAACACACACACAAAGTAGAATAATCATCTCAGAATTCACATTTAAGGGCTGGAGTTGTGGCTCAGTGGTAGAATGCTTGCTTAGTACATGTGAGGCACTGAGTTCGAACCCCAATACCACATTAAAAAAAAAAAAACTAAACTAAATAAACAAAATGAAGTTATTAAGAAAAAAAGAATTCACATTTAAAATTTTTCTTAAACTGATAATAGTCTCCTTATACATAAATTCATTTAAGGTCCCTTTCCCTATCCTACACCTCAAAGGTACTTAATTTTACCATTTTTCGTGTTTTTTCATGATATTTTATAGCCATACTCAAATAAATGTGTACTTTAAACACACAAATGAAATCTTTCTCCCTACCACTCAACAATGAATTAGACATCTCATGTCAGTATACACAGATTACCCTAATTCTTTTAAATGACTGCATAAGAGCTCTTTAAATAAATTAAACTCCATGAAAAACTCACTATCTTATTCTTATATTGCTACAAACCAGTGAAAGTTTTATCATAAACTATTACTCATTCTCATAATAGTGTTTAGAACACAAACACTATTCCCCAAAGAGGATTTAGAATGTGAGTTGGGGCTTAAAAAGCAGAGGAAGGTATCCTCAGCTCAGGACCCAGCAAATGTTCAGGACCAATGGTAAGTGGTGGCCAAACCCATGTCCCGGCAAAAGACACAGAGAGGGAGTTTCACTAAACAAAAGCAAGGGGCAACCAGCTATTCTACTTTGGATCAACTCTCATATTCATGACCTCATCTGAAAAGCCTATGATACCTATTTTGCAAGCTGAATGAGGAAAACACAAATGAATGATGCGGCAGTACTTGTTAAACTCATGTCTTGCCCAAGTGCTGATTACCATCCTGGGAGCAGTGGTATAAGTAGGGTAGGACTTCATGGGCAGAAGTTTTGAGAATTCATCTAACAGGCAAAAGATAACCATTAAGAAATCATTCCAACAAAACAGAGAGGGGTAGAGGGAGGCAAACCAGTGAGGGGCCAGGTGAGGGGTGGGTGGGGACAAGAACAGAGGCAGCTCCAGGCAGCTTCTTGCATTCCTCCAAGGAGAATGGGGAGGGCAGCCTCAGACCCATCTCTGATCTTCTCCTGGGCAAGTTGCTTGTGTCGGAGGGAAAAAGAAAGCCAAAGGAAATGGCCTTGAAAAAAAGGGTCAGTGGTGACAACGGAAAGGGGAGCACAATGCTTTCTTTCTAAGGGCTTTTTATTTTTTAAAAAGTCAATTCTTCTTTGAATATGGGACAGAGGTATGACAGAATAAAAAATATATATATAGAAAAGAGACAAAAAAGGAAGGCTAAGAAAAATAAAATAGTAATTTAAAGTTTTGCATACTTGCCAGGCCAATCACTCTCCTAACTCTGTCACTCCCAAATTCCTGGGAAATCTATAAATCTGAGAGTAACCATAAATTCACACACTTATGAAAATTACTGTTAAATCAGCCTGTGCAATAAACAGGTTAATCAAAGAGGGGCATGATATTTTAAGGAACCTATAATTTAGGGGCTTTCCAACGAAATTATTTGACCAGAATAACTGATCAGATAATGGAGATCGCGTCGGCCTAAGGATCCTGAAAACGACCACACCATCGGAAGCTGGTCTTGTGATCACCAGCCTGATGTCATCCCTTATATACCTTCCCAAGCTCACCCCTTAGCAAGTTCCTTTAAAAGAGGAGCAGGGAACCCCAAACCGCGCCCCTCACTCTCCAAAGGGCCCGGCATTCTCCTTTGAATGTTTATCTGCTTTCTTAAACAAATTTGTGTCCCGGCGTGTGCTAAAATTCTTTTCCATCGCGAATGCCCAGGTCCCCAATTGTCCTGAGTCGAGGTTTCCCCCGCTCTCCGGGAGCTCCTCGAACGCACCTCCCATGACAGAAGGAAAAGTACAGACCATCTCCTCAGAAAGTCCTCCGCTGGACCCCGATGCCCATCTTCCCACCCAAAGCTGGGAAGACCCGCTCTCCAGGTGCTCCTGGCGGGCTCCCTCCAGCATCCCTTCTCTACAGTCCCGCTGCCTGGCCCCAGGACCCTGTCTCTGTTAATTCCCCGCCTGCAAGGCTCCCTTCCTGCCGCCTCACTCTAGAACTTGACGGACTCACCTCTCGGCGGCCTCGCCGTCCCACCGACCGGCCCCTTGCGCCGGTTCGGTTCTACGCGGGCGGTTCGAAAGGATGGGAACCGACCCGTGCTTATCTCTCCCAGAACCTTTACAGGGCACAAAGAAGCGACAGTCTCATCGGCCCGGCGGCCCCTCGGTTCGCGGGTACCGCCGAGCAGCCACTGGGAAGCCGCGCCCCTGCCTCCCCCGAGCAGGACAATCAGTAATTAACGCCGCGCGCAGCGCGAAGCCAGGGATCACCGCCTCCTGCGGCCAGTGGCACGGCGCACGCGCAGCGCGGCGCTGGAACCCGGTCTCCAAAGGCCGATCCGCTTTCCGCGTGTTCGCCAACGCCGCCGGGCTCGCACGGGCAGAAGGGGCGGGGACGCGCGGGGTTGGAGGTGTTGGCGCGGTTCCCAGAGGACTGGGAGCAGTTGGCGGGTCCTTTTCTTGATCCCGTCTGCGTCCCAGCGCTTCTCTGAGGCCTGAGACTCGCTTGCCAGGGCTACCCGGGCCAGCCTCTTCTGCTGCAGGGAGCCGGGCCGTAAGGGACCGCCCTGGCCCAGGAGCCCCGGTGCTTCTGGAGGGTCCCGAGGTACTCGGGTCGGACTTGGCTGGTGCGCTGAGCCCAGGTCCTGGAGATGAGAGTTAAAGTTCGCTGCCGCGCCAGGGTTGGGGCGTGCGCTGGAGAATCGGCCCGGCCAGACGGGGCGGGGCCTGCGGGGGCGCTGGTCGCTTTGGCCCCACCCCCGGCCGCCTCCGAAACGTGGACTGGCAGACGCCAGCAGGAGAGGCTGCCGCGCGAGTAGTTCCGCTCCCTGGGCGGAAGTGCGCGCCGCAGTCACGGCCGCTGACCAGCTGTCGTCATGGTGGCACCAGTGCTGGAGGCGTCTCACGTGTTTTGCTGCCCAAACCGGGTGCGGGGAGCCCTAAGCTGGAGCCCCGGGCCGGGAGGACTTCTGGCCTTTGGCACGTCCTGCTCTGTGGTTCTCTATGAGCCTCAGGTACGGAGGGTACTGGTCGCCGGATCGTCTATACTTCCAGTAGTGGAAGCCGAATTCTCTGTCGGGTCCGCCCGGGGTGGAGGCCTTGGCGAAGAGTCTCCTCTGGGTTTGCGGGACTCGCCGCTTTTTGTCCACTGTCAGTCTAGGGCCTTCGTGGCCCGTGCCCTGAAAGTGGCCTGTGAGCCCCGCCCTGAAGCCCTCCTTCCCAGGAACTGTAGTACTGGTAAAGAATTCCTTTGGGTTTTACAAGAATTGAAATGTGGGTATGGGTTAAAGCCATCATTCCACAGATGCAATTTCAGTTCTGTATTTGCCTCACTATTGGTTACTAGACTTGCTGTATCAAATTTCACAGAAATATATGGATATTTTAGCTACGGAAATGCATATTTTACATAATGTGCCATTTTGGGGGAAAAGTCATAGGGAATGGGGATCCTCACCGCTGATTATAAGGCATTCCCTCAATTTAAAGTCAGTTAATTTGCGGGGAGTGGGGGAGGGGTGGGGGCTGATTACCCTACCAGACTTTTCAAGTGAGTAGTTTTTGCATGCCACCCAGAGTTCATTGTGACCCCATTTCTTCTGGATAATTTAAGATTATACAGTGAGTGTTGCATCTGAACAGGAGCCTCATAAAAGGTGCAGTGCTGAACATTAAGATGTAGTGCAGGAAATGGCTGCGTGTATATCTTACCATACTGTCACTGGAAGAGGGTCCAAGGAATTCCCTGAGAGAGGGGTATAACTTGACTCAGTACAAGTGGGGCCCGGTGGGGTAAATGACCTACTCGATGGAAAAGAATTTCAGCATAGGCCAGCCAGAGACACAAATTATTTAAGCAAGAAGATGCACAATCAAGGGGGAGTGTGGGCTGTCATCTGAAGAGAGCAGGCCATCTCAAGAGAGTTTTTGGGTTCTTTAAAAATATATATACATATATATATATTTTAGTTGTAGATGGACACAATACCTATATTTAATTAATTTATTTTTATGTGATGCTGAGGATAGAACCCAGTGCTTCCTATGTGCTAGGCAAACACTCTACCACTGAGCTACAATTCCAGCCTTGAAAGAAAATTTGATGAGGGTTGGACTTGGGAAGGTATGTAGGGATGACATCAGTCTGGTGATCACAAGAATGATTTATGGTGGTGTGGTTCTTCTTAGGATCCTTAGGCTGATATAGTCTCCATTATCTGATCAGTTATTCTGATCAGTAGATAATGTTGGAAAGCCCTCAAGTTATAGTTTCTTAAAACATTGTATCTCTCTTTGTTTAGTCTGTTTATTGCATGGGCCAATTGACAGTGCACAAGGTAATTTTCATGAGTGAGTGAATTTATGGTTGCTCTTAAGATTTACAGTTTTCCTGGAAATTTTTCCCAGTTGGGAGAAGAACTAACATGGAAAATGACAGACTAGGAAAAATATGTGGAACTTTTGATATTTCTTTGTCCTTCCTTTTTGTCTCCTTCTTAGCTATTTTTTTTTTCTTTTAGCCTACCTCAGTACTCCTTACTAATTAGATTTAAAATTCTATTATCTTCATACCCTTTGTAGATTCAGATTTCTGGATGAAAGTTTTTTTATTCACTTCTCACTATCTTGAGTTTGTCCATCTCTTAGGGTTTTTGTTTCTTAGTTGCCACAAATTCTTTTTTTTGGGGGGGTGGGTACTGGGGATTGAACTCAGGGGCACTAGGCCACTGATCCACATCCCGAGCCCTATTTTTGTGTTTTATTTAGAGACAGAGTCTCACTGAGTTGCGTAGTGCTTCGCTTTTGCTGAGGCTGGCTTTGAACTCAATATCCTCCTGTCTCAGTCTCCAGAGCTTCTGGGTTACAGGTGTTCACCGCAGTGCCCAGCCTCTGCTATGCATTCTTAAGTAGCAAGAGAAAGAACGTAAAACCAAGGATAAACTTTATAGTGACCATCAATCAAAGACTGACTCAGCTGTGGAAGTCCATCTTCATGCAGGAGCTTAATGGATTTTTTTCCATGCATTCTGTGTTTGTCAACTTTTTGTTGCTCTGACCAAAATACCTGACAGAAAAAAACTTAGAGGAGAAAAGATATATTTTGGCTTACAGATTTAGTCCGTGGTAAGCTGGCTCCATTGCTTGGGGCCTGAGGTGAGGCAGAACTGCATAGTGGAAGAGTGTGGTGGAGCAAAGGTGTTCAGCTCAAGGCAGTCAGGAAGCAGAGAGGAAGGGGATAAGGACCCTTAGTGACCTATTTCTTCCAATCATGCCCCACCTGCCTACAGTTTACCTCCCAGTAGTTGATTCAAATTATTAATCCATCAAATGGATTAATCCATTAATGAGATTAGAACCCTCATGATCTAAGCCCCACCCCTGGGTATTGCTGTATTGGGCACTAAGCCTTCAACACATGAATTTTTCCAAATCATATAACACCTTCCATCACATTGTTTTTTAATATACATGCAAAATTTTGTATTTATTTACTTTTCAAATACATCAAGATGTCTGATTAAAACATCCTCCATGATAGAAACTCTCACACACACATGAAATAATGCAATAATTTTATACCCCTGTACAAAGCACAAAATGTTTTCCACCTTTATTGAAATAAACACTCTATAAAAGTGCTAATTAGATCAATTCACTTTTTGCAAATTATCAGTTATGACAGTACACTGAATACATGCAGAAGAAAAATAAGCTGAGATATTGTACTCCTAAAATTCATGTTTTGTAACATTTGCTTTGGTTTGTGATTCAGGCGCTCAGACCTCCTTTTATTTTAAAATTTTAAAATAAATTAATAAATTAATTAATTTTAATTAGGTGTATATGACAGCAGAATGCATTTTGATTCATTGTACACAATTGCAGCACAACTTTTCATTTCTTTGGTTGTACATGATGTAGTGTTGCACCATATGTGCAGTCATACATGTACCTAGGGTAATGATGTCCATCTCATTCCCCATCTCTCCTGCTCCCATACCCCTCCTGACCCCTCCCTCCCCTTTGCCCAATCAAAGTTCCTCCATTTTTCCCAAGCTCTCCTGCTTCCATCACATTTGTAAGGCTAACTTGTTGGCCATGTTAGGGGACTTTAATATATCAAAACAGAAGTATATTGAATTTAAGAAGTACTTGGTTTTATTAAGTATTTGCTTGTTGAGTGTTTCATTAAATATGGGGGTGGAGCATGTGAAATGCTTAAATAAAGTTTTGGGAATGATGCTCAAGTAGCACTTTTGTCATATTTTTTATTGATGCATTATAGTTGTATATATTGATGGGATTTATTGTTACATGTTCACACACACATACAATATAACAATATAACTTGACCAGTATCACTCCCAGCATTTCCCGCTTCCTCTCTACCTCTCACCCCTTGATCCCTTTTCTCTGCAGATCTTTCTTTGATTTTTAGGAAATGCACCCCCACCTTTGATTTCCTTTTTCCTTTCTGGCTTCCACATATGAGAGAAAACATATAACCCTCAATTTTCTGAGTTTGACTTATTTCACGTAACATAATAGTCTCTAATTCCATCCATTTTCTTGAAAATGCCAGAATTTCATTTTTCTTTATGGCTGAATTAAAGCAGCACCTTTTTTAAATTAATTTTTAAATTTATATATGATAGTGGAATGCATTACAATTCTTATTACACATATAGAGCATAATTTTTCATATCTCTGGTTGTATACAAAGTATATTCACACCAATTCATGTCTTTATACATATGCTTTGCATAATAATGTCCATCACATCCCACCATCATTTCTAACCCCATAACCCCTCCCTTCCTGTCCCACCTTTCTGCCGTATCCAGAGTTCATCTATTTCTCCCATGTTCCCCCTCCCTACCCCTCTATGAATCAGCTTCCTTATATTAGAGAAAACATTCGGCATTTGGTTTTTTGGGGATTGGCTAACTTCACTTAGCATTATCTTCTCTAACTCCATCCATTTACCTGCAAATGCCATGATTTTATTCTCTTTTATTGCTGACTAATATTCCATTGTGTATATATGCCACACTTTTTTTTTTAATCCATTCATCTATTGAAGGACATCTAGGTTGATTCCACAGTTTCTCGCTATTGTGAATTGTGATGCTATAAACATTGATGTGGCTGTGTCCCTGTAGTATGCTGTTTTCAAGTCCTTTGGGTATTGACTGAGGAGAGGAATAGCTGGGTCAAATGT